GTAAGCATTTTGTACAGATTGCAGAGAACAAGTCAACAGGGCGACTAAAGAGATTTTCAAAGATCTTCCACAACAGATTCAGAAAGTAGCAGGTCGTGGAGTAAGTGCATTTGAGCGTAGGTCAAGGATTTCAAGGGGATTGTTGGCAGTGTGACTTTTACTGTAATAAACTTTTAAAAATTTAAACATTCATGGTTTCCTTCTATCATAAGTCAAATTTGGATTTAGGTCTGTTATTTTGTTTTCACGTTAGTCACATTTTTAGTTGCTCTGGTTCTGGTTCCTGTCTTTTTTAAACTTGACTTCACATTTCATTTTAACTTGAGTATCATGTTTTATAATTCATCTCACATTTCTTATATCACAAACTTAACTTTTTTGGTATCAAGTTTAATGGTGGAATGTAAAAACTTTCTACCACATTGGTCCCTTCATGTTATAATTGTCCTATATATTACATCCATATACCATGATTATTTCATTATTAAGCATTTTTTTATTTTAGCCGTGAAAGTATTTCCAGAGCAGAATAATGTTGTTTAGCTAGATGTTTTCTTTATCTGTTGCTCTTCCTTTATTTTTGAGATTCCAAGATTTATCCTTTCCTTTTCCTCCACACTCGGTCTTAGCCAAGAGGGTGAGAAGCGATTCCCTTTCCTTCAGATGGCATGGCTACATTGTGAGCAGGCCCCTCACCATCCACTGGCTGAATTTTCCTCGGTGTGGACATGCTTTTATTTCAGGTTCAGCCTGGACCTGGACTTCTCAGATGATCAGTCTTTTATTTCCACACGTTGAGAGTGCCCGATACCTCTGGGTTCTACAGTTCCCGAATACTCATTTGAATCATTGTTGTATTAGAAATTATACTACATAATTTCCCCTTCACTGTTTTTAAGATTTTCTTTTGTTTTCAATTTCCAAAAGTTTGATTGTGATACTCTGAGTGTACGTTTCCTTAACTAACCCTGTTTGGAAATCTTTTATGATCTCTAGGTTTAAACTTTTTTCAAAATTTGAAAAGGTCTCAGTCATAGATTTTTTTCATATCTTTTCTTTATTGTACTCTTTTCTCCTCAAATCCTAACAACATAAACATTAGGGTATTTTTAGTATTTTCCACAGGTCCTGACTGACTGTTGTCTTTTTTAATCTGTTCCTCTCTCCTGCTTGGATTCGATAGTTTGTGATCCATCTCTATATTTTCTGTTTCTTTCTATGTAAAGATCACTATGTGTTCTATGTGAGTGTGATAATCTTAACTAACAAAATGATTTAAAACTTTGTACAAAAAGTTAAAGCAAATGTACTAGAATGATCAAAAAATATGGGAAACTGAAAATGAAAGCAAGTTGGACAAATCGCCTTAATTTCAAAACTTTTCCTATAAACCTACAGTAACAAGGCTGTGACACTGGAGAAAAGACAGGCACAATAATCAATGCAAAAAAATCCAGAAATAAACCCACACAAATACACAACATTGGTGCCTTTTGAAACTATGAAGGTAGTTCAAAGGAGGAAAGATGTGTTTTAGGGCAAATGCTTGTGAGACAATTTTGTATGCATGAACAAGAAAAGAAGCCTTTACCTAAAACCCACATCCTAGGCAAAAATTAATGGAATATGTGCTGCAGATTTAAATGCAAAATTATAAAACTTTTGAGGAAATGGAAGAAAAATCTTGTTTATATTTGATTAGTTGAATTTCAAGATACCACGCCAACACATCATTCATTTAAAAAAAGTCATGTATTGGAAGTCATCAAAATGTAAAATATTTTCTCCTAGAAAAGCTCTAGCACAGGAGCTGGGGGTTCCAGCTCCAGGCCTTCAATGCCAGTCCCACCCCTGGGGTGCACTGAGACAGCAATTGAGACTGGGAGTGGGGTCGCACACCTGTAATCCCAGCACTTAGGAGGCTGTAAACAGGAGAGTCAGTAGGAGTACAATCTAGTAGTGAGACCCTGAGCACCCTGTAGACCCTTCCCTGAAAATACAGAAAAAAAAATAGGCTCTAAGTGATTACAAAAACAGCTTTGAAGTTAAAGAAAATGTTTTTAAATTACATGTGTGACAAAGAATTTATATTTCAATTCCATAAAACTCTCAAGGGGTAGTTTTGGGGTGTAGCTCAGTAGTAGTGCATGTATTTGGTATGGCTGACTCCCTTGGGTTCCATCATCAGCAACAAAACAAAACAAAACTACCTTCACAATTTTTTTAAAAGTCAAGTAAAAAACTAGAAAAAATATTTAAACAGATATTTCAACGAAGGAAAGCATCATTTCCACTGGAGAAAGCTCAATCTAAATGCAGGTTACTTGAATTTAGCTGCTATTCCAGAGGAGACTCCTACTCACAGAGGAGCATTATTATCAGTGAATACTGAAATATTGAACATTGCAAGAAGACTTGCTAATCAAGACAGGAAAGACAGATGCAATGTTAGTTACTTCAGTGATATCTTGATTATCTATTTCTATGCTGAGACATAATATCCAATGTCCAAAGTTAAGGGAGGAAGATTTATTTATTTTTATTTTTATTTATTTTATTTATTTATTTTTATGCCAAAACCGGGGATTGAAAGCTGGCCTTTGTGCTTGCCAAGCAAGCACTTATTCTACTGAGCCATCTCCCCAGCCCCAGGAAAGATTTATTTAGCTCACAGATTATAAAGGTATCAGTCCATAATAAGATGGTTCCAAGGTAGGGTGGCGTGGCAGAGGAGCACTGCAGAGAAGAACTAGTTCATGGTAGGCAGAAAATAGCAAAACAAGCAAAGGATAGCCACTGTTATTTTTATCTCTTATATCATATCCAGGGCATTTGGGGTGAGTAGCGCTCACACCCTTATTCTTGGTGCCTTTGATCCTAGCTTTGAGCCATGAATCAATCCCAGCATCACACACTCTAGATCCAGCCACCCCTGAAAAAGCCCAACCTATGACGGTATGATGCTTTAGGGGTGCAAATCGATACAAGCCATAACAAAGGGTATTGGGGAGAAAGTGCTCTTAGCTTCTTTTATTCCAGAGAATAAAGCCCAGAAGGTCAGAGGTAGACTCAAGAGAAAAACTCTAAACAACTAAATCTCAACTAAGCAAGAGCTCTAAGTATCAGTCAAAGGACTTTTCTAATAAGCATAGATTTTACTATAAAACATCGTCTTCTGCAGCCAAGTAGTCCAGAGTGTGTGAGGAGGCTTTAGCTATAATATGCAGAAACCATTACTCACAGCCATCTATGAGAGAAACAATGAAGGAATGAAAAACCCCAATAAACTGTGATACATCTACTGATGGCAGAGTGTAAGTCAAAAGAGGCTTAAAAAGGAAAAGAGAGAAGAGAGTTTATGATTGGTTAAAACATTTTTGGATAATTTCCATTTTCTCACCTTTCTTAAAGCTTTTGTACCTGGGCTGGGGATGTAGGTCAGTGTTAGAGTGTTTGTGTAACATGGGAAAAGCCCTGAGTCTGATCTCCAGCACCCCCAAAACAAAGCTTTGCACCTGGATAAACCTAATGGTATAGGAATACGTTCAGTCATAAAATTTTTGAATGCATCTAAGAGTTACCTATCATAGATTATTGTGGTTTTATACAATGCTTTGTTTTATGTACTGTCTTTCGAAAAGCACACTAGTTGGGGTAAATTCTCAGAAGTCAGATGAGATGGTCTGGAATGGAATCCCAACTTTATCATCTCCTAGTAATGTGATCTGGGGAAAGTTACTTGACCTCCCTTCAGTTTCCTTAACTATAAAAATGGCAATAATAACCTTTACCTCATGGTTTAATAGTCATAAAGCACTCAGAACAACTCTGAGTATGTAGTGAGCCCTCAATAAATTACATCCTCCTCCTCCTGTGGCTGCTTCTCCTCCTCATGTCACCACAGCTTGGTTGTGCTTACGTGCATATTTCCAGTAGAGTTTTCCTCAGAGCTCGTAGCATGATTCATTACCAACCACATGGGAGCCGTTTGGCCCAGTGGGAAGCAGAAGTTACCTAAGGAAGTGATTCCTCTGCCTTACAATCTTCAAAGAAAGAAAAAAATACTTCACTTTTTAAACTTTAGTACTTACTGAAAATGTTCATAGCAGGGAAAATACAATTCTTTCCTTCTCATTTTGTCTTCTTAAAGTCTCAGTGAGATTGATTTTTGTGTGTTTATTAAATTTTAAAGGGAAATTATATGGTGTAAGTACTTCCTGAAATTGTGTTTCCTTTATTAACTCAATATTTACTATATCTCCTTAAGAGAGAGGCTCCTTGGTTTGATAAGAACATTCATCCTACATACACATGCTACTGAAGTACACTTCTGAGTGTGCTTTACATGAGATCCTCTGTTTCTTTTTAAATGCAATTAAATCATTTATTGTATGTTTATAGAATGATAAGCAAGTAAAATCAGTGAGGGTATTTATTCCATTATTTTAAGTTTCCCTTATCTTTTGAGGTGTTTGTGTGTAAGAAAACCCATCTAGGTTTCAGAATCATATAGCTGTATGTATTGTTTATATATAGAACTTTTTGCAAATAACCTTAGGTGGGCTTTTGTTTTTATTACTTTGAAATAGGCTAAATAAAGGCTCCTAAAAACACCCATGTCTTTACCCCTGGAACTTATGAATGTTCTTATATAGCAAGAAGGAGCTTTGGAAGTATCATTAAATATGAATTTTGAGATGGACAGACTATCTTGGATTATCTGACTGGACCAACTGCCATCACCTCTATCCTTTGAGGGGGCAACAAAGGGAGACTGCATCACACAAGAGGAATGACAAATTGGAGTGATGTAGCTACAAGTCAAAGGATGCTGGCACCCACTGGATTCCCAAATAATCAGGGCTTTCTAAAGTTTCTGGAGGGAGTACAACCCTGCTGATATCTCCATTTCAGTTCAGTGATGCAGACACACAGAGAAATGTGCACACATGTATATACATTTAATATATATGTCTATATCTATATATCTTGTGATACAGATGGTCTCAGACCTACAGGGCTGCCCAGGAAGTAGACAGGAGTGGAAGTGAAGAGAGCTGGTACTATGGTGAGGAGTACACTGGAAATAATGGAGATGAAGAGCTAAGGTTCTGCCAGCCTTCACGCTGTCCAATTGAGCTGTCACTTGGAAACTGGTAATGGTTTCCTTGTAGCTTTCTCCACTTTTACTGGCCCCATCCCTCTTGTGACCCTCAAGGAATCATCCTGATGTGTAAGTCAGATTACACAGCTAAGCCTCTCTGCCTTTCCTGTGCCCCTTTGGGCAGTGACTCCAAGTCATTGCTGGATGCCAAACTAGAGCTCAGGCTTATATCTCAGGGTGCAAATTTCTCTCTTCTCACTTTCAGCACAGGTTCCACAAGTTTTGACCTTGCACCTATAATAGTACATTGGATATAGATTTTGCCATCTTCTAGGGCACTTTGCCTCTCATTTAGGTGTGGCACTGAAGGTGGGTTTTCCTGTCACTTGTGGGCCCGTGAGCATAGCCTCTTGACAGTCTACTTCTGGAGACTGAGCTTCATTCAGGTGCCCTGTTCCCGCCTCTCTCGACTTCACTGGAAAGGGTGTGTCTTTTCCCACTTGGATGTTAGAATTCCTGGTCTGGGTTCTCTGTATTTAGAGCTGGGATTTCTGAATACTCTCAGTACTTGAATATTAGGTGTTTCATGTACTTGAATATTGTTTTATTTTTTAGGGGAGATATGGGGGATTGAACTCATGACCTTGTGCTTGCTAGGCAGGCTTTTAAACCACTGAGCAATCGCCCTGGATCCATGGGTATCAGGGTTTTTGTTTTGTTTTGTTTTGCTTTGTTGTTGTTGTTTTGGTGGAATTGGGGATTGAATTCAGACCCTTACATTTGCAAGGGAAGCGCTTATTCCACTGAGCCATGTCCCCAGCCCGATATCAGGTTTTTGAAGCACCCAGAAATTTCCTTTTTTCTTATGAGTTCTTTCACGTATCAAAATATTTTTACACTTTATGGATTATTCCTCTTATGCCTCTGCCAGTGTCTAAGACACCTCAAGTTCTATTGCCCCAGTGTTTTCAGTATTGAATTTATGACTCATCATATGTGTTCTTAGATCTGTCTCTCTTCACTAGCTCCTCTAGCCTGATACCCTGGCTTATCTCTTTTATCTTGTAGCATACCCCATAAGGTACTCAGTAAATCACTGAATGAGTAAGGGAGGAATCACTTCACACATGCTAGACTTGTAAAAGTAAAACTCCTTCTCTCTCTCTCTCTCTCTCTCTCTCTCTCTCTCTCTCTCTCTCTCTCTGTCTCTCTCCCTCTCTCTCCACCTATGAGGACATGTACTAAGATCAAGTCAAAATCTAGTTTTGGAGTACATGCACCTAACACCTGGCCATATAATTTATCAAATGTAATAGCTTAAAGAACTGCAAACTATCAAATACAAATGTTATAAGTACTCTGTTTTAAATTTCTTTGCAGCTGAAGTCAGCCACACTTCCTTGCACAGATCTTAAAATAATTCTTCACTCAAAAGTCATAGTATCTCAGCACAGAACAAAAACATGAGAGAGTTCTGGCCTGGAGCAACTGTTTGTTTTTTCAGGAAGAAAATCAACTCCTTTTTAATGAACACAAAGCTCTTGATAGGTTTGGGGTTTTGTTCAGCTGCTTTCTGAATCTCTCAAAGCTCATCTAATGAAATACGAGCAAGATCTGATCCTTCCTCTGCCGGGCGTGGATGCTTCTTTGAGGTTGCTGTTCACCAACTCTGAGCAGAGAACACAGACCAACTCAGAACACAGACCGCCGGGATGCTGGGACTTCCTAACCAGCACACTTCAACTCTCTGTCTCAGTTGCTTTGTGTCCTAGTTGTGAAATCTTTTTAATCAGAGCCTTCTCTATGTTCTGAAAGCCACACACAGTTCTCAAGGAACAGTCCTCCAACTCTAAGCACATACAGAGAGAGTGAAACTAATCCAGGAATCTGAAATCCAGAACACTCCTAAATTGAAAACACTTCACATGCTGATGTGACAGGACAAGTGGAGAATTCCTTGTTTGACCTCGTGTGATGGGGCACAGTGAAAATGCAGACACACACAAAAGGCATGTGAAGGGGCTGGGGAGACGGCTCAGTGGAATAAGCTCTTCCCTGGCATGCGCAAGATCCTGAGTTCAATCCTCAGTTCCACAAAAAAAAAAAAAGCATGTGAAATGAGTGCCTTGAATCTGCATAAAAGGTGAATATGAAACATAAATAAATTTTGTCTTTACACTTGGGTCTTATCTCAAAGATATCTCATTTTGAATATGCAAAGATTTCAAAATCTGAAACAAAATTCAAAATTTATAATGCTTCTTGTCCTAAACATTTTGGATAAAAGAACTCAATTTGTAACATTCATACACGGCCTCCTGAAATACAGAAGGCCTTCAACCATTCCCCAGTGCAGGCAGAAGAAGGGAGGCTGCAGAGGGAAAAGAAGAGAGCAAACATCTAGAGCCTCCATAGCCCTCCAGGGTGGAGTGGCCCTGAAGTAGCAGGCCAGGCTGAGATGAGACCACACTCCATGCTCAGTTCTCTCCACAGGACCCTGAAATGCTACTTCTTCACCCAAGAACTGGCATGTTGGAGGGGCAGCTGACAAAAGGGTGCTAATGATCTCATTGACAGAAGACTTCTGAAAAGCACAACAAAAACTTTCTCCTGATGTCTACATGAGTCACACATTCATGAATATGTCCCTGAAATCCTAGGCCCACTCACTGAACAAAACCAGAAATGATGAGGAAAACAGCAAGCCCCTTACCACATACAACTCCTTGGCCCAGGATCACCCAGTCTCTAGAACTGAAACAAATACATTTCTTCACAAATTATCCATTTTGTGGGTAATTTTTATACTTTTCTGCTGGATGGTTAAGACCAAGATATAGCAAGACCTATATAACAAAAAATGTAACTTTTTTATCTGACAAGGTCAGTCAGATTCCCTCAGGATTTACCCTGAAACCCTGTACAATAATTTATAGATCCTTTGTCAGTGTCAGCCATGTGGATGAGTCACAGCCATTGCTTGACCAGTTTGTAAGCTGTGATACACAACATTCAGAAAACATCTAAAATTAGCATCTGTCAAGTAGCATATGCTTAACAAATGCCTAAAACCCAGTGTGGCTCCTCCACAGAGAGTTTCACCCTGGATCAGAAGGACAGGTGTCTCCTACTCCCTGATGCAGGCCTTCCAGCCACTTCTGCAGCCAAGAGCCCACTCCAGAACAAGGAATCAGCACAATGGGAAACACTTCTTCCTTTGGCATGTGTGACTCAAGCACTACACTTAGCTAAGGACACCGCTAAGCTGGAGCAAGTGGATCTCTCTGGTAGCCCGGGGAATCTCTTCCTTATGCACCCTAAAGTTGGGTTTAGACTAGAAGCCTCAGTGTACTTACACCAGCACCTTCCGATGGGGTGCATGGTGTGGTGTGATAAAGCAGGGAAGGGCACCTGCCCATCTACAGGGACCCAGACAGCAACAGGGCTCTGACCCAGCATCCCCACTGCTGGATGCTCTGTGCACCCCTGTGGTTGTTCATCTAGCTCACAGGGGAAGAAAGCCAACTAGCCAGAGGTCTCAGCATTGGGAAGCAAAACAATTCAACGGCCCTGAACGCGTTAGAATATTCATACACACACAAATGCAAAACAAATGCTGCTTCACACAAGGCAGCCTCTGAGTACCATTAGAAGAAAACTGAGAACTTGAGTTCTCGTTCAGGCTTTGTTTAGTATCCTCATCTGTAAAATTGAGTCGCAGGAGAGGGTGAGGGTAATGACTACCAACAGAGTTGTGGGATGAAATATAGGATGCCCAGTGATGCTTGAATCTCAGGTATATTTAAATATTTTTTAAGGATGCATCAAGTAGTATTTGTCCCAAACAGTATTTTCATTTCCGGCACCCTTAGTGTTGCCAGCATATCGTCACAAGGTAGATGATATGGGGTAAAATTTGTAAACTGTGATGTACAACATTCAGTCGGCCAGTAGATAGGAGAGTCCATGTGTCTCGTTTGCCAGCTCCTGGAAGCAGGGATCATGATTTACCAAATTGCAACTTATTACCATATATGGTAAGCACACAGTGCCTTCAGTTAGGGGCCCTGACAAAAGGACAGTCAGGTGTCCTCAGTAGGCGGTCAGGTGATGGGAAAGGCGGCTGCGCAGGAGGCTGCAAGCATCGGCAGCAGCTGCAGACTGAGCAAGCTGGCCTGGGCCCTCCCTGCCCACCGCACGTGGGAGCCACGGAGCCTGCCACACCCCACAGCGGGGACCGGAAGTGGATCTGCAGCACCTGCGACGACGAAATGCAGTCCGCAGCTGCCAGAGCAAAGGTGAGGGGATCGAGTAGGGAACTTGTGACTGGGGGTTGGGGGTAACAGCATGATCCATGTGACACTTTCCCCAGATTGTGCAAATACTTTGTGCGCATTTGACAATTGAGGACAAATACAGAAAATATTACAACCCTGAAATAACTGCCATTTAATTCTGTGCTTGCAGTATTTCTGATAAAAAAAACATGTATGTATTTTAAATAAATGATTTTTTAGAAAATGAAAGACATTATACTTCGTATATAATTTTGTATTTAGTGTTTTCAAATTTACATTTTATTGGATCATTAAATACACTTTAAGGATATACATGATACCGTTTGCCTATTATTAACTTTTGCATGAGCCCCAAGTGAAACCCTAAATACTGGCTATTTGGATTGTTTTCAGTTTCCAGCTTTATATGTACTATGCTCACACTTATTTAATTGTACAAATCTGTGCATGCCTCTCTGATTATTTCCTCAGGACACTGCAATAGAATTACTACTGAAAGATTATAAACCTGAAAAGATATTTTAAGGTATGAACATTAATTGAGCACTTACTCTATGCCCTGCACTGTTTTAGTTACTTAATGTACATCAAATCTCATTACTACTAACAGTCAGTATTACTGTTTTGCTCCTTTCAGAGAGGAATAAACTACAGCATAGAAGAGCAACGTGACATAATTTTACAGCTAGAAAGCCAACGCCTGGGTGGTTTCCAACCAAGCCATTTATGAGCCTTCACTGCCGCTTTCCCAAGCATCTCTTCACTGAAGACTTGTGAATACTCGTCTTGCACACTGAGAAGTACGAAGATGGGTCCTAGCTCTTTCTTCGGTATTCTCATGGGGTACAGATTGTTTCTTTTGTGTTTATGAGAGCTATGAAGGCTGACTTTTTTCATATATATTTTAAAAAAGACCCTTTTCTTTTAATGAATTGGAATTCTTCATGGTATAGAACTAACCTTTTGTTCTTTGGTTTGTGCAATATACAAATAGCATGTGCATCTGCTTCTACACAAGCACATACTTGTGCATTTCTATTTTGAAGTTATTACCTTTTTGCCTATTATAAATAATACTATACTATACTATATCGCTTGGATGCTTTAATTACCCAAACTAATTTTTAGTCTTTGTAGGTTCAAAGCTCTTTACATAAACATTGCTTTCATCACATTTTCTTTTGGCTTTCTATAAGGTTTTATTTTTTCCACTCAAACAGTCGATCTGTTTTGAATTTATTTTATTAGTCTTATTTTGTCCTTAGAGACATAACTAAGTTAATTTTTTTTTCTGGTACAAGGGATCGAACTCAGGACCTTGCACTTGCCAGGCAAGCACTGAGCTATATCCCTGGCCTGGTATTCAGGAATTAACGCATCCTTTTCCAATTATTTAAAAGGTGGGGGCCAGGGAGATGGCTCAGTGGAATAAGTGCTTGCCTGGCAAGCGCAAGGGCCTGAGTTCAATCCTTGGTTCCACCAAAAAATAAAATAAAATAAAATAAAATAAAAGGTCACTGCCCTTCCTCCTCCTCTGCTCTTTACCTATCTCATTTACCACACTGTTGTGAATGTCGCAGTTTCAGAAGCATTTCAACAGCATATCTGCAACACTCATCCTTTAAAGTGCAGTTGCTTAGGGTTGATCCTTTGTTTTGGATACTCTTCAGAATCATCTTTCCAAGTTACAAATTAATCAGTGGGAAAATGATTGGCAATACCTTAAATGTATTTATTACTTGAGAAGCCATTTTACATTTTTAAAATAATCTTTCCTTTTAAAAATGAAGCATGAGGGTTGGGAAGATAGCTCAGTAGAATAAGTGCCAACCTGGCAAGCGCAGGGTCCTGAGCTCAATCGCCAGTACTGGAAAAAAAAAAACAAAAAACCAAACCTAAAAATAAAACATGATGTCACTTTTGTGTTTTTTTAATATATCATGGTAACATTTTGTAAGTTTTGTGCACTAAATATTTTAGCTTATTACTAGCTATTTTTTATATTTTATTCATTTGAACAAAATCTCTTTTAAAGAAAGAAGTCTGGGTTTTTCTTTCTTTCTTTTTGAAATATACAAGAGTCACTGAGGCTTTAAGGTAGTGGTCATTGGTAATTATTATTTTGCTTTTAGTCACTTTTTAAACTTATTATCTTAGAATTTTACTGGGTTCTCTTGGTAATTCCAAGGGGGAAATCATACCTCACCTGAAATGACAGCTTTTTCTTTTTGCCACTGACTAGTCCCACTTGTGCCAGTAATTTATTTCATCACATTGGCAAGAAGTTACAACGAATACTGTACAATTGTCTTGGTGGCCGGTGTGGTTCCGATTCCAGTTAAAGTTCCTCTGATAAACCAGCATCACACAAAATCTTCACTGGTTTAAAATGTATCCTTTTTCCATTTCAAGAATTTCTTTTTGAAAAAGTTCTTCAATTGATATTTGATTTTTATTTAGCATATTTTATTTTGGTGTTCACATCCTATATCGCTGGCCTGTTGATGTATATTTTAACATTACTTTCCTAAATAGGAATAGGTACTTTTGTTCTTTAGAATAAATAAAAAGTTGCCCCAAGACATGAATTTTGCACGTACGATCAGACTCGACTTCCTGATACTCTCTGGTTGCACGAATAAGCAAACAGCTTGTATTTTTCTTCACTTGTGTTAGTGCTGTCAGGTTTTAGAACCTCGGTTATAATAGCTTTATAAAACCAATTAGGAAGCTTTGGATCTTCTTCTATCCTCTCAGTTTATTGAGCAAAAGAATTATCTGTTCTTCAAACTGGGAAAAAAATGCTCGTAAAAACAGTTGAGCCGGAGCCCTTTCTGAGGGTAAGCCTTTGACAGCGCCTCTACTTTCTTCCCTAGCAACTTTCTCTGTTCAAGTTTTTTTTTTGTTTCATCTTGAGTCAGTTTGGGTCATTTGCATTTTCTTGGAAAGTTACCTGTTTCATTGATATTTTCAAAATTATTAAGGCAGAGCTGTAGATAATGTTCTAATAGTCTCTGAAGGGCCTTCTTATCTATAGCAGCATTCCCTTGTAATGAGTCAGTATTTGGGGTTTTATTTTTAATTAGACTTATAGAGTTTACATACATTGGTGGCTCAGAGGTAACACTAGTGTTTTCAGATGTCAGATTTTAAAAGTAAATTCTACTGTTTTATTTCCCTGCTTCTTTTTTTCCTTATCTTTTTTTTTCTCTAAGTTAAGTTTGTTGTTCTTCCCACATATCTTATTTGCAAGTTTAATTATTCTGTGTTCATCTTTTCTTGCTAATGAAAATACCTTAAATCTGCTCAGTCGTCCTTGAATATAACTGTGGCAACACCCCGTAGTATTTCCCAAGCAGCTTTCTCGTCAGTGTTTTCAAAGTAACTCTGAAGATTTTTCTCTCTGTAGATACAAAAGCTATTTATGTAAGATTTTGTTTTAATTTTATGAGATTAGGTTTGTTTTATTTGAACTGGCACTAGTAATTTATATATTTTATGAAAGCATGTTTAAATCTTGCTATTATAAAATGTCCACTTTGGAGAATATACTAAGATTTATTTTGCAAATAAATATGTTATTGGTTTATGTTCATGCATTATGGCCATTTTAAAATAAAATAAATTCATTTTTTAGGGCTGAAGTTTGGTGTATGTCTATTATATTGTTTTCACTAACTTTTTTAAATTCACTATAATCTTAAGTCTATGTGAATTTCTACATTTATTAAAAACAAGCCATGGTACATATTAAAGTATAGTAAAGGGACAGTTCTTACTCACTTCTCCTGTGTGTCTGATTGCCTTTACATACTCTGATGTGATTTTATTTGCCTATGTGCATGAATCATGTTTGCATGATTCAGTGTGCCTTTTCAAATATAATATGACCCTTTTCTCTTTCTGTTTAGCGTTTTGTGCCTTCCATTTTATGTTAAGTATTTGTATTCATCCTTCATTTAATGTTTATGTGTAAGGCTTTACCCTTCAATGTTACTAAGTGGTGTAAGATGTGATGTTTTTACATAAACAGAATAAGAATATCTGCTTCTTCAATAGATACTCCTGGTTCCGTCCTCATAAACCACTGTAAGTTGAAAACCTCTGAAATGGAGCGTGTACTGAAGCTGCCGGCCCTACAGAACACCCTAGCTTAGCAACGCAGCACACTGCAGCATCGGCTGCTTCCCCTCACGGTCATGCAGGAGCTGGGAGCTGGGACCTGTGGCTCTCGACGGTCACCCAGCTCTGCCAGAGAAACCCATAGTGTACCTTGCTAGCCTGGGAAAAGATCCAAATTTAAAATCAAAGTATTGTCTATGAAAGGTACGTCACTTCCACATCATTGTAAGGTTTTTAAAACATCATAAGTCAGAATACTGCATATCAGGGATTATTTGTAGTTGTTCCCAATATTACTTGAGATACAACAAATAAAATTATTTGGCACAAAGAATAATAGCATTGAACAACATACATTAACTTCTTAAAACAAAATCTGTTGTGCTTTTAAAATAAATTACAATTTAAGTGCTTTAGTTAAACCTTATAAAGTATTTATGTTTCCTGTCACATGCCCTGCCTTGCTGTTTTCCGTGTTCTTTTACTTCCTTTTCTTCCATGTGCATTAGGCACTTTGCTAAATTCTGTGAATACTACAGTGTGGTCCGTGATCTGACCTCTAGGGGCTTCTATTCCAGCAGCCAAACTGTCCCTCAGAAAAACATGTACAGTTACAACTATGAGAAGTGCTTTGACCTGTGCGGTGAGACAAAAATCACAGCTGCCACCTTGGATTCACCTACATATTTGCAAAGCACTTTTCAGCCACTCTATCTTGTGGGGAGAATTACAGCTGTAGAAGAGGTGTCCCTTGACTCTGCACGATTGAGGAGGGCATGGCTAATTCCCTCCCTGCAAGCATTTCTCGTGCAAAATGTCCCAGGCAACCCGTATGGGAATCTCTCAGGCTGAGAATACAGAGAAGTCTTGCTCACTGGTGGAAGTGAATGCGGTCTGTGCAGAAAAGCAACAGCACATTCCATTCGGAGGTGAAATACTCAGGAACTGAGGATTTGATTCCACTACTATATGAATGAAAACTGAGTAATAGATAAAGATGCAGTAAATATGTATTACATGCCTTCTGTAAAAGTGCCCTCTTATCTGCACACAGGGATATGTTTGGACACCCAGTGAATGCCTGAATCCAAGAGAGTACTGAAGCCTATGTAAGGGAGACATACATATGAATATATATTTATCAATTGATCTAACAATGAAGAAAGGGACCCCTCAGTGACTCCTAATGAGTGGGTAATGCATGAAATGTGGATTCTGTAAGTAAAGAGAGTTCCACCTCCTAGACAGGAGGGCAGGGTAGGAGGGTTCCAGATTTTGTCATGCTGCCTAGAGAAGCATGTAATTTAAAACTTAGGAATGGCTTATTTCTGAAACTTCACACTTAATAGTTTTAAGGCCATAGTTGACCTCTGGTTGCTGAAACTGAAGAGAATGAAACAGTAGGGAAGGAGC